TTTTATGATTAATTTAATTTCTATACTGTGTATTAAAATATATGCATATATTACATACATCAACAGATATTAACTCCAGGACAATGAAGTAAAACATACTCTGAATGAAATTTAAATGCAATATTTCTCAGAACTGAGGAAAAAACAAGTGTTTCCTCAAGTAAATCCTTTGATGACTGATTATGGTGCATTGAATCTAAGGTGACATTTTAAAATAAATGCTGAAGAGACTGAGTTCAAGACGGTTTGTACCTTACTGCGTAATTCAAATTTCTAAATGTGTAAAGGAGATTTTATTCTTATAAGTACAAACGGACATACATATACAAGACTCCGTCCCTAGTAATTATAGTGATACTGTTAAATAAGTGAAATAATTACCAATTCACAAAGAGGGAACAGAGAGGACCCTTGGACCCCTTTACCCAGTTTGCCGCAATTTATGTCTCACATAATGATAGCATAATATGAAACCGGGAACTCAATATCGGTACCTATATGTCGATTCAGACATGGAAACAACCACCTTTCATCACCACAAAGCTCTCCCTATTGCTACCCTTTTACAGCTACACCCACCTCTCAGGGAGAGAGGTGTCCACCAGCCCTAACCTCTGGCAACCGCTAACCTACTCTTCACTTCCCTAATGTCATCATTCTAGAATGTTGTATGAATGAAATTATTGTAGTGTGTAACCTTTTGAAACTGGCCTTTTTTCAGTCTGCTTAAAGCACTTAAAATCCATCCAAGTTTTGTGTATTAATAGTTATTTATTTTTACTGCTGAGTAGTACTCGTCCATGGTATGGAAACAGATTAAACATTACTGTGTAAACACCCAAATTCCATTATGTATAACAGCCATTTGTTAATCCAATAACTGAATATATATATATAACCGTGCAAGAGACGTTTCCAAAAATAAAAACAAAGCTCTGAGTAATTGTTCCAAGACATTTGTATCTTTACAATCCAGTGCACAGGGTCTGTCACTGAGCCTCCCTCATTGCAGGTAAACACAATCCAGTCTGTCTGGCTCTTACACTGTAATACATCCTCTGGGGACAAAGTCAGGAACTTAGACAGGAGTGTTTTACGCTGCTATACATCTAGCCTATAGTATAAAATTTACAGTTGCTTCAAAGTATTTAGGTGTTATTCTAAGATGCAAAATACAGGTTAAATAATACTGTTCTCTTCCAGTATTGCCTCAACAATGCTCTAAAATGTGCTATTATTTTGAGAATCCACTTATAACCTCTATTAATAAAAAAATATACCCAAGCCAAAGTGAATTTGACTCTCCCGAAGTTGAAGAGGTAAAAGAAATTCAGAGACAGCACTAAGATGAACCCATTGTGAGTGAAATAATTTACTTATATACTGCGGGAATTAGAGTACACAATACTTTTTATTCTTAAAGTCTCTCGCCCAGGGGGCCCCACCTGCTCAGTCTGGCTACGCCAAGCTTTTTGGAGGAGATAGAAAAACATCATGGAGCATGGAGAGTGGTGAGGCAGGGAACCGGCCCAAAGCTAGTGAAGGGAGTGATTCATGTCGAGTGAAGATGGTAGGACATATGGCAAAGTGGCGGGAGCTCCCTCACCCGCCACTCTGCTCCTACCACGACTGGTCCTCAGGACCAGACAAAATGCCACCTGCGCCCCTTTATTTCTGCATCGACTCCCAGCACTCCCTGGCTCACTGAGAGATCTTCAATAAGTGTTCATATAATTGATGTTCTCCATCATCATTTCGGCCATCGTCAGCTGCTTGAATTGCTAGGAGAAGGCTGCCAAGGTTTTGGAGAGAACTATAGCTCATTTATCATATAACTAAGATACCCCAATTTAGACTAATTTAATTTTTTAGAATTAATTGGATGCTTAACTAATTGCCCAATAAATTGTGCTGAAGGAGGCAGGGCACATGAATTTTTCACCTTCCAAAGTTAATCACTACCAACCCCTCACTGTCTCGTGGCTTAAGACTGTCTTCTAAATAGAGAGTGAAACAAGTCAGAAATAAGAAAAGAAATAACTCTTGAAGCTGTTATTAACATTTCCGACTCTACAAGAGATAAAAAGCCATATTAACCACATCGTGATGGCGCATCAACTTGGGTTTACACTTTATTACCCAGGGAGCAAGAAGGTTTACCCTTAAGAATCAAGTCCCGTGATTGAGTGACTTAAGTCTGTATCATTTTGGACAGTTAAAGTTTATAAGTGTTTTACTAGAATTATCCCACAAACTACATAAACGTCTGTTTTAATAGATTAAAAAAA